CTGGGACTACAGGCGCCCGCCACCTCGCCCGGCTAGTTTTTTGTATTTTTTAGTAGAGACGGGGTTTCACCAGGTTAGCCAGGATGGTCTCGACCTCCTGACCTCGTGATCCGCCCATCTCGGCCTCCCAAAGTGCTGGGATTACAGGCTTGAGCCACCGCGCCCGGCCGGCTGGTGCTTTAAATGTCCATCTCAAACTGTGCTTCTTCACCGCCCCCTCCTCTTATCTTCTGGACTACTGTGCAGGTGGCCCTGGTTGGCTTCCGTGGAGGGGGATCATCACTGGCAGAGCTGATGACCCCGGGAACAGCGGGCTGATCCCTCGCGGGTGTTTTGGTCACGGGTCAGTTTCGACACTCCATCAGGAATTTCCGGTGGTAGATGACCCTGGTACCTCCTGGAGTGGTGCTGAAGAGCATGCCGCTGGGGGCCGGTCATGCTGTATTCCCCGGGCGGGCCGGAGTTGCATGCCTTTGCCGAGCACCACCTGGCAAGTGGCGGGGATGGCCCGGCTTGGGGTCTGGCTGCAGCTGCTGTCCGCAGACATGGTCTCCTGTGCACTGCACCCAGAAACCTCTCGCGGCCCTCGGGGCATTTATTATAATGATATTTATATACTGTGCTGTAGGCAAATGGGCCTGCAGCATATTTGACATTAAAGCTCGAGACTAATTCTGATTCCCCCTCTGTTAGGTCGAAAGATGCTCAGTTGGTTTCTGCTAGTATGGAAATAAATCATATTACGGCCAGAGCTCATGATGGTAGGAGCAGCCAGAGAAATTCTTGTGTTCCAATGAGTATATACAAATTAAATGAACCACTTATTAATAGGACTGCTAGGAGGATAATAGCTAGAGTGACTTCATATGAGATTGCTTGGGCCACTGTGCGTAGTGCACCTATTAATGCATATTTCCAATTAGATGCTCATCCGGATCACAGGATAGAGTAGACAGCTACGCTTGATGTGGCTAATATAAACAGGAGACCTATGTTAACATTAACTAGAGAGTGGGGTATGGGCAGAGGGATTCATGTGAGGAGGGCAATACATAGGGCTAGAGTTGGAACAATAATGTATGGGGGTGTATTTTTATACATTATTGTACATTATACAACAATATGTTAAAAGTTTTATTGCATCTGTGACTTTTATTGCCGAGTGCCCCCTGACTTGCTGGTGGTGGTGTCCCCACTACTCCCGAAGCTCCTGGGCTCCTGTGTCTCTTTCTCCCAATTCCTTTTCAGTCTAGTTCAGGCTCCATTCACCTGTGGATACTCCCAGTCTCTACTTCTAGAATCTTCCAGGGATCATTCTCGTTGCCTCTTCCTCATTCTGGACCCTGCAAAGCCCCTTTCGTCAGGTTCTGCAATGCAAGTCCAGCCATGGGAATTCCCAGACATAATCCCTTCTCAGACAGGGTGTCTGTGAGGTGGTGCCACGGGGCACAGGCACACGTGGAAGAGGGAGAATAGGGTCACAGCTGCCACACCTTTGCCACAGGTCTCTCCCCAGTGTACTCCTGGGCCTCCTTAGAATCCTTGCTGCTGTAAGAATTGCAGGCTTCCTGGCCTTATGACAACACAAAGGGAAACAAGAAGTTTCCCTGGGAAACACAGGGTCCTGGGCCCATATTGGAGAGGGCACAGGGCCAGGGACTCTGGCCAGACATAGGCCCAGGTCTGTGGCTGGCCAGCTGTGGCTGTGGGGCCCTGCATGTGTCTCAACATGGCCCTGGAGCTCTACATGGACCTGCTGTCAGCACCCTGCCGTGCCGTCTACATCTTCTCGAAGAAGCATGACATCCGGTTCAACTTTCAGTTTGTGGATCTGCTGAAAGGTTAGCTCCCAGTGCTACCCGGCAGGCCTGGTCCTGGGGGAGGTAGGGCACACACATTGGGGCTTGTTTTTTTCTTTTTCTTTTTCTTTTTTTTTTTTTTTTTGAGACAGAGTCTGGCTCTGTCACCCAGGCTGTAGTGCAGTGGCACGATCTCGGCTCACCGCAAGCTCCACCTCCCAGGTTCATGCCATTCTCCTGCCTCAGCAGGAGGCATTTGTGTCTCTGGGAGTCTCAGTTCTCTCTCCCCTGGAGTCCCACAGCCTCAGACCTTCCCTGCCCCTCCCAGGTCACCACCACAGCAAAGAATACATTGACATCAACCCCCTCAGGAAGCTGCCTAGCCTCAAAGATGGGAAATTTATCTTAAGTGAAAGGTAAGTCTTCCCCAGGGTCCTTGCATCATCTGTCTCTGCTCCTCCTGGGACACTCAGTGCGAGCATTTGTCTATTTCACCACGGAAAACCTCACACATACACTAAAGGAGAGTGAATACTAACTAATGAGGGGCATGAGGAACCCCACAAACCCATTGTCCAGCTCCGACTGTTGCCAACTTGGGGTCCATTTTACATCATTTCTGTTCCCCTGCTTTCCAGATACCCCATCATTCCAGTCATAAATGTTTAGGGGCCAGCACACACCTGCAATCCCAGCACTTTGGGAGACTGAAGCGGGTGGATGGCCGGAGCTCAGGAGTTCAAGACCAGCCTAGCCTGGACAACATGCCGAACCCCCCATCTCTACAACAAATATAAAAATTCGCCAGCACGGTGGCCCACACCTGTAGTCCCAGCTGCTCAGGAGGCTGAGGTGAAAAGACTGCTTGAGCCCGGGAGGCAGAGGTTGCAGTGAGCCAAGATTGAGCCATTGTACTTCAGCCTGGGCAACAGGGCGAGACCCCATCTCAAAAATAAAAACAAGTAAGTAAATAAATCAATCAAATGTTCAGGAACATACCTCTCAGAGATAAGAATTCTTTAAAAAAAAAAAAAAAAAAAAAAAACAACAGGCTGGGCAAGGTGGCTCATGTCTATAATCCCAGCACTTTGAGAGGCTGACACGGGAGGATTGCTTGAGGCCAGGAGTTCACGACTGCAGTGAACTCTGATTGCACCACTGCACTCCAGCCTGGGCTAGGATAGAGGGTAGGATCACTACATTACCATTAAGATACCTCATAAAATTAACAATAATTCCTAGATTTCATCTAATGTCTGGTTCCTGTTCAAAACTCCCTGATTATCTCCTAAATATTTTCTTGGCAGTTTGTTTGGATCAGGAGCCAAACAAGTTCTGAATCTTGCAGCCAGTTGCTGTCTCTCCCGCCTCTCTCTAATCGGTAGCTCTCTCCATGCCCTAACCTTTTTACCTTGGCAAGGTTGCTGTTGATGATAATAAAGGAGCACTTGTCCTGTGGAGGTTCCCACACCAGCCATCAATCAGCAAGGCCTAGGACACCCCTCCGAAGCAAGTCTCCCCTCCGTCCCCTTCCCTCTGTCCCCATGATCTCCACCATTCCCGGACACCACAACCTTCTCGATAGTTGCTGGCCCTGCTGTCGTCCATTCTGCCCCCTCGGGCTCACCCTCCATCCAGCACCAGAGATGGATCCTTTCATGCCCTGGCTTATATAACACCTAATCTGACGGATTAAGTCCATAACCTCCCTGCATCTCCTGGGGCTACCCTCTGTGGCCTCCACAGTGTCTCTTGCTGCCTCACCACTCCCCAACCACCCCCACCCTCCTTCCAGTTGCACCCACCTACTCTCCGTTCTTCAGATTCACCTTGCTGCCCTTACCCTGGTATTTCAGCATGTGTTTTTCTTTGTTGGTTTTTTGAGACAGAGTCTTGCTCTGTGGCCCAGGCTGGAGTGCAGTGGCACAATCTTGGCTCACTACAACCTCTGCCTCTCAGGTTCAAGCAACTTCTGTGCCTCAGCCTCCCAAGTAGCTGGGATTACAGCTGTGTGTCACCACACCCAGCTAACTTTTGTGTTTCATTTTAGTAGAGACAGGCTTTCACCATGTTGGCCATGGTCTCCAACTCCTGGCCTCAAGGGATCTGCCCACCTTGGCCTCCAAAAGTGCCAAGATTACATGTGTGAGCCATCGTGCCCGGACTGTTTCTGTTTTTCAAAAAGGACTTGCTCCTTCACCCAAGCTGCAGTGCAGTGGTGTGATCTTGGCTCACTGCAGCCTCAAATTCTTGGACTCAAGCGATCCACCCGCCTCAGCATCCTGATTTGACACGTGTTGTTCCCCTTGCTGGCCTACTCTTTGTTATACCACCAGCCCCCAACTCCTACTCACCCTGCAGGGCTCCTTCCCTGCCCTTACTGACTGTCAGACAGACAGCCCTGGTGAAGGCCTTTCCCGGGGCCATTTGGGCTTCTCCTTGCTCTGGAAGCCCCAGCAGTTGGGCCCAGTCCACACCAGGGTAGTTGACGCAGTGCACTCAGGAAGGCAAGGGCAGTGCCCCTGACCGGCCCTTTCTGCAGTGTGGCCATCCTCTACTACCTGTGCCGCAAGTACAGCGCTCCATTACACTGGTACCCGCCAGACCTGCACACACGTGCCCGTGTGGAGGAGTTCATGGCTTGGCAACACACAGCCTTTCAGCTGCCCATGAAGAAGATAGTCTGGCTCAAGGTGAGCAGGATCACTTCCGGGGCCTGGGGACAAGGGCACAAGGGAGTCAGGGAGGCTGGAGGCCAGTGCTGGCCCTGCTGATTGCCGGTGAACTCTAGTAAGTCAGTCTCCCTCCCTCTCTGGGCCTCATTTCCTCAGCTCCTTCTCCTGCCTGCCTTACAAAGCTGTCAGGAGTGTGAACTGAAACAATGGGCATGAAAGAGTCTTATTAGGGCGAGGGGAAGGGCATACAGGAGCGGCTGATACGACTCACCCAGGACAGCATTCGAGGCATTTCATTCCGAACTAGAGAATCTCAGCGTCGAAAGGCCCACAGAAGGCCGGGCGCGGTGGCTCACAACTGTAATCCCAGTACTTTGGGAGGCTGAGGCAGGCGGATCACTGGAGGTCAGTAGTTCAAGACCTACCTGGCCAACATTGTGAAACACTGTCTCTACTAAAAATACAAAATTATTCACTGTGTGTGGTGATGGGCACCTGTAATCCCAGCTACTCAGGAGG